GACAGACAGACAGACAGACAGACAGACAGACAGACAGACAAACCAACATACACACTTAGCGCGTTATATGTAGTAGGATGATACAGCCCCATATGAATTTCACCAAACCTCACGTTCCAGGGTGTGAGAGAGTGTGAGGGAGTGAAGTCACACGTATATTTCTCTTTACAAATAGAGAGGAAGTCCAGAAGGGTCGGATCGTTTCTCGTGGCCACTTTCCTCTTCTATGATGGTTTGGGCTGGAACAAGTGCCAACAGAGCGATACGCTTGTTTTTTTTATCAAGAAAAGTATAAAAACTGACAATAGTACCTTCACGAGGAACATTTTCGAAATGATGCTGCTTAGGGTCAAAACCAATCCCAGTTATACGACTTGGATCATACCTGCTCACAAATGGAAAAAAAGTCCAGACTGGTTTTGAGAAGATGTCCGCAGAGAGAGAAGAGGGATGAGTAGGAAACCCTCGCTTTTGAACACATCACTGCTGATGCTTTTTAGAAATAGTTGAAAAAAGTTAGGACCAGAGTTTCTCAAGTAACTGCGTGCCGCCGTCGACGACTAGCCGTAGCATCTTCGAGCCTGATCAGTACAGAGACGGTTATAAAAGATGAAGGTGCGTTCATTTTGTCAACGCGAGGCACAGTAAATAGTTCATATAAATTCACCATGTATCAGTAATTTTGCGGTTGCTACAGTACAATTATTTTGTTACCGTATTTATGGCGCACCCTGTAAGTGCCTGGTCGCGGGTATGTATCCAAAATCCAGAAATCAAAATCATATTGTTATTTCTCTGCTATCATCCTTTAGAAAATGATTGTGTGCCCATTATTGCTTGTTCAATCGTTTTGAAGGTCATCTGTGCCTTTGGACATGGAATCTCTCTACATGTTCACTTCGAACAAGAAATGCAAGGAAGACGATGAAGATAGTGGGTTCCGCTCAAGAGTCAACTCTGGTTGGTTTATCTGAACGACAACCGCTTTAGTTTGATCCCAATGTTTACAGAGCTTCTTAATGTTCTGTAAGGGTTTAGTTACTCACTCTTGCTCTCCTGCTTCGTCGTCCGCGTTATCAACTGAGAGCAGCTCTCCAAAAAGGAAAATCAGCACGTCGGACAGCTCGGACAACGTCGGCGGATTTACTCTTGGAGGTTCAAAAAGCTCCCATATTGAATCACGATACTTTCCTGAATTTTCATGTTATTCCCACTGTAAAGGAGATACAGTTCCTTAATGAATAGAACGTGCTCATTTAGGGTATGGCACTGGTCCAACTTACGGCCAACAGCTGTTTCAATCTTTCGAGCCCAGCGCCAATAGCTTTGCTTCCTGTAAGACTTGTTGATGTCTTCTTGAGGCGAAGTTCCGCTGGCATTCAGCAGAAATGTGACGTAAATATTTGAAATTTCAGAAGTAAGATGATTCTTCCATAGTCATACTTGTTGTCATAATCGACCCTCATCATGCACAAGCAGCAGAATAGTTCTCATGGAAGGAGGCTGTCTGCCGTCTATCTCACTGTCAAAAACTTCTGAGGTATATACAGAGTTTATTGTAGCAGAGCGTTATTTTAAAAATGGGGCTAGTGGAAAATGAAATATGGAATGGATTTGCATATCTGTTCACTGTAGAAAACAAGGACCCATAAGTCGTAATATTTGTGAGCTGCCCTTCAGTTATTGAGGGTATAGTACGGTATTCGAATAAGCTGCCCGTAGCTTATCCCGCTGCCTGCACTCTATCAAGTTGAGGGGCCTGGTCCAAGAAAACAAGAGGTATTGTCGTCCAGCAAAACACTCACACACATCGACAAACTTCGTGAGCGCCCTCCCCGCCTTCAATGGAATCTTGCCCAAGTTTTATGTGTTTAATTACCACGATTCATTCCTCTCTTTCTCAATTTGAATGCGCGTTTCCACTCAAATTACGCTCATTTCACGCACGGTCCCTCCCTCCAATCCCCATACGCCTACGCTGGCTGAATCCACTTCAGTTCACTCTCTACTTGTGCCATCGTTGTCTTAAATCTGCCTTATGCAGTCCATCCAAATTTGAACACTCCAGGTACAAAGTAGCATTGTTTGCGTACGTTTTGGCTTATGAGCCGGAGTCAAGTCGTGCCAACTCTCATTAGTGTTACCGTCCTGTACCTGTATTCCTACCAAATTTGGAAACCCCAGGTTCAAATTAACAATCCTCGTGCACGCCCCGCCCCACCTTGGGCGGAGTCAAGCCATGCCACCACCAGTCGATATTTCCATACTGCCGCCTGAATTCATACCATGTTTGAACAACACGCACACGCAACACACACGACAAATACACACACGTCACACCACACACACACACACCAAACACACAGATCCAACCACACACAACACACAACACACAGCACATACACACAAACACACACACCCACAATGCACAAACCACACATACCACATACAACACACACACACTCAACACACATCCAACCACACACAACACACACAACACATACACACACGACACAAACACGCACCACACACAACCGCCACACAACACACAACACGCACAACACACGTACTATACACACACAACACACCACACCACATAACACACACACACAACGCACAAAACACGCAACACACAGCACACAAAACAATCACACACAACACACGCACGCATACACAACACACACGCACAGCATATATACACACACAACACATCCAACACACACAACACATCCACAATATACACACCACACACTTTCACACACAACTCACTTACAATCCACACAACACACACAGCACACACATACACATATAATACACAGCAAAGCACACACGACACCCACACAACACACACTCAGCACACGCACAGTATACGGGTATGGGTACATACGTGCGTGCGAGGATGCGCGCGGCAAATTGCGCGGCGAAGTGCGTGGTAATTCGAACGACTCTGGTGCCTATCATTTCGGCCCAAATTTGAAGTAGACTAGTTTAGTAGGACCTGATGATCCTTCTAGTCTTCTTTACTTCAAATTTGGGCCGCAATGATAGGCGCCAGAGTCGCTCGAATCACCACGCACTTTGCCGCGCGCACCCTCGGACGCACGTAAGTTCCGTCCCCCACAGTATACACACAGCAGACAGCACACACATACCACACCCCTGTGTGTGTTGTGTGTTTTGTGCATTGTGTGTGGTGTGTATGTGCTGTGTGTGTTGTGTGTGTGTGTGTGTGTTGAGTGTGTGTTGTGTGGGGTTGTATGTCATTTGGCGCGGCCCCTCACACCCACCTTGCCATTGGGGCGCATGGGCTCATAATTACCTCCTCGACGCCGCCCATTCGACTCGGTTTGTGAGCTGGGCAACTCTTCCAGCTGATTCAACCTTCTGACAATGTTAGTCAGCCTACCCATTGCCCATCCAGCTAAAGGACGCCCGATCGATAATTAGATAATAATTAGATGCCGAATTGACCTACCTGTATCCTGTCTATTTCTACCACAAATTTGGCCATTTTCTCGCCTTTTTTTGCTTCTCAAGATTTTTGAAACCCTTTTCAAGTGAATACTGCTAAGTTACAATGGAGTGGAAGTATCGT